AGGAGGGAGGGAGGAAGGAAAGGAGGAAGGAAAGAAGGAAAGGAGGGAGGGAGGAAGGAAAGGAGGGAGGGAGGAACGAAGGGAGGGAGGGAGACACACTACTCACTGTGTCTCCAGAGGCCTCATATATATAATAACAAACACCATTCTGTCATCTTAGCAAGATTTGATACAAGGTCAATGGAAAACACAAAGATAAACACAAGTGATATCTAAGAAGGCCTGTTGTTAGCAAATCTTGTTCTGACTTTAATCATTCTGTCTGCAGATGAACAGCATGTTATGAAAACCTAGGTCATTACAGGATGTCATGAATTACTTGCTTAAACATAAAAGTATTAGTTCCATTACACCACAGTCTAAAGTGCACTTTCTGTTGTCTCTGCCTGCAGGGTAGGAAGGACTACATGGGTTTGGCCATCAAGAATGACAACCTGGTATTTGTGTACAACCTTGGAAGTGAAGATGTTGAGATCTCGCTGACCTCCAAGCCTGTCAGCCAGTGGCCTGCAGTCTTTAACCACATCAAAATAGAAAGGTAAATGAATCTGAATCAGCCGAAACACTGACATGTTTCACCTGAACACGTCACTCCCACAAACACTCACTAGAAAAGGAGAAGGAAAAACTTGGAGGTAAGGTAAAGATCATGGTCTTTAACTGATCATAATGACTTCTCATTTACATAAGTGTTTTTTTGACTGATTTATTCCTCATTTTACTCATTCCTTAATAAAAGTAGACATTGGTGTCCAGGTGAACATCTTCTGTTTGTCTCAGGCATCTTTACCAACACATAAAAATGGTGTTAGAACATGAACATTTAGCCAGAGTATAAATGGATTTCAGACGTGCATTAGAAACACTGTAGGCTCCTCATATGGTACGTCTTTACAAATTTCAATCTGGCTTTCTGATTCTTATTACTGATGAGTAGTTTGCGTCTTTGGGTATGGCCTCTACATTTCTGCTCTCTGAGTCATCTTTAAACAGTGGATTGTGAAACCTTCACCCCTGAACTGTGGAGGTTGTTGGGTGATGTCACTGATGTTTGGGGGGTTATTCTTCACATCTCTCACAATRTTTCTGCCATCAATCACTGGTGTTTTTCTTGGCTGACCTGTTGGGTGTCTCTTACTCAGTACACCAGCAGTTTTTCTTCTTCAGGACAATCCAAATTGTTGTGCTTGCTATGCCCAATGTTTGTCCAATGGGTCTGATTGATTTTCCTTCTTTTCTCAGCTTTTCTCCCATAGACTGGTCTTCTTGTTGGTTTTTCCTCTTTTACAAAAAAAACCTTACTTTATAGGTTTAAACGCAGGCCAAAAGGTAGACTAGTCAGTTATGCAGAGCTATTTAATGTTTGAACAATCAACCTTAAAGGTAATAAGGAACACCTGTCGGTCACATGTTCCAATAGTTTTGCTCACTTGAAAAATGGGTGGGTTCAAACTACAGGGTGGTCTAAGTTGTTTAACACATCTACATGTAAATACCAGGAAATAATATAAATATAAATATAAATACCTCGGTGTTCATCTGGACAACAGACTGGACTGGAGACTCAAACAGTGAAGCAGTCTACAAGAAAGGACAGAGCAGACTGTACTTCTTAAGGAAGCTGAGATCCTTCAATGTCTGCAGCAAGATGCTGCAGATCTTCTACAAGGTTGAGAGCGTCATCTCTTCTGCCATCATCTGTTGGGGCAGCAGCATCAGAGC